CCCCCCCCCGCGCGCTCTTAGAGACTGCGTACTACAGTTGATTATAGTTCCTGGTGAACAGTTACCCCAACTTTGGGGTCAAATTTCTCGGTAATGAAAAAATATATCAAAAATTCAAATGGTAATTTTGTGCCCACACTCAAGCTCAGTAGAATGAGCTATGTCTGAGGTGTTTTATCCCAAATTTGTAGGAGGAGATACATTTTTTTTTTTTTTTTATACATTTTGCTGTTAATGTGGCAACGGTGGGCCCAAATTTTTTCCAGATTGTTTCTAATAACTAGGCTGAAGCCAAACAAATCACAGAAGTAATAATACGTGAAAACACTGGAAGTCACACAGACACACGAAGCCACAAAAGTAATTATAAGGGCAATCCTAGCGGAGCGAATCGCCAACAAATACTAGCAAATCGCAAAAAATTAACCATTTTTTCGCATAATTTGCAATGAAACAAATGATTAAAGTGAAAAGATACGTCGAGCAACATATTGCAGGGAAAAACTAAAATATATTTTCAAAAGACGAATGAACGTTTTAAATACAATCAAGATTCCGATTTTTTGTCAAGTTTATATGCAATCTGCTATCATTTTTTGTTGAAAGTCACAAACATAGTATGCCAATTCAACCACCCTGGTACTAGCAATATTGGGAAAACTGACCAACCGAATTACTCACTCTAAATGGTCGCCATTTTGATATGGGTTTGTTTTCGCTGAAGTTCCACCCACAGATTTAAAGCTTTGTAATTCTGGTATTATACCCAATAAAACAATTAAAAATATACGCATGCGTAGAGGAAATTACTTTACAATGTTCACAAGGAAGGGAAGAACCAACTTGAAATGGTCCCATGCAGATATACTAATTCATATAGGGTTCAGCAACTGTGTTATAAGTGTGTTCAGTGGCTAACACTAGTAATGAAACGTTCGGTAAATATCTTGTAAATTAGTTTTATAAAATGTAAACGGCTTTTGTTATAACACTGTACTGAGGCTTAAATAGTGCGGAGTTTAAGCGACCTCGGTGTTAGCCCTCCGCGGTACTCCAAACCCAACACACAGTGTGGTCTGGTGCCGTTCGGCCGGCGAGGGCGCTACTACGCCTACATGTCAGGCTACCCCAGTTTCAGCACCAGCGTAATGGTCAACCAAAACATTGCCTATCTACGAGTAGGCGAAATTGTGCTGTTAGAAACGCATAGCACGAAAAGATGGTGTGAACGGAAGATCGTGACATCTTGTTATCTACCGGACGCAACTTACGCCGACGTAACTGTTTTATTGCACACTTTTACTACTTCCGCATTCTTCAAAACATTCCGTGTAAATACTGTTATGTTTCTGTGTAAACATTATTTGATCTATAGAGGCCATGCTTCCTGGTATATTTTACGGTTACGCAGTAAAATAACATCTTCTCCTCGGAGCCACTAAATGTGTACCCTAGATTCTGATTTCGGGGAATTGGTTTACGCTCTGTGAATTTCCCAGAGCAGTTTTCTTGGAAAAGTTTCACTCATTTCCGTCTATAAGGTTGATAATATGATGAAACCATATCTACCAGTACGACACATTCTAGCAAGTATTTATCAATGATTTGAAATATACACGTGATGATAAACGCTTGACATATTGAGACGTTATGGTCCAAGAAGGTCACCGTCCTATAACACATTGCTTTCGACATTGTAAAATTCTTTCGTTTTTATGCAGAAAAATACAGTATTTTTACAAAGTAGAGTCATATTTTTTAAATTTATTGTTCTTAAATGAGTTTTTGAACACACTACATAATTTGCAATTTCATTCAGCTTCTTTCAGTCATAATTCAAGACAAATAATAGGCAATAATATAGGAAATATAGCAATTTTTTCTGTAATATTCTTGTGTAATCGGTAATTATGAAAGTGATTTATGGGTGCATAGGGAATACATTTCGTTATGAATTATTCTTAATATAAATTTCTGAAATACCTTGTTTTTTTCAGTTGTTTTTCTCATAAATAAACGAAAGAATTTTACAATGTCGAAAACGGAAAGTTTTTATCGTAGTGTTCTATGCATTTGTTAGGATAGCCTACAAATACTCAACGGTGTACATTTCATAAAACACGTGACTATCCCCCCCCCCCGCTGTGTCCCATGGTGAACGTCGATATTTCAGGCAAGCGGCAATGAATTAAGGGTGTGCTCTTTGGAAGTGACTGATGCATAGTGATGAATACTCTTACGAAGAATTCGTGACCATACCCGTATCATTTAAACCAGCACCACGGAGTAACGCGTACAACACTACACATTACTACACTACTCTGACAACGATGTGTACACAGTCACGTAGTCTTTGTATCCGGATTGTAGTTTTGCTAAGAAAATGTTGATGGCTATAACCGGACCAGTAATGGACAAAGCAGATCTGACCTATTAGAAAGCATTTGACCTGAAAATTTCGAGAAACACTTTGAGTATACAGACTGTGTTAAACTTACTGTGTTAAATACTTAAAGCGCGGTGGTCGTCACGCAGCGCGTGTTCGAATTTCGAGTATACTAAATAAACAATGTATTTTACACGCGTTGTATACGTCGCCATGAGTCCCATATCGAACAGGACACGGCACGACGACTGCCACCCTTTAACTTACGAAATTTGAGTAGGCCTTTAAGCTAACATTTTTGAAACCCCGAAAAACATTGCAATGCTTCTCATCGAGTCGCTGTATGAAATTTAGCAAAGCGGAGTTGATCAAAATCTAGTGTGACACTAAAACACTATAATATTGCTTTAATACATCATTAAAAGATATTTGACAATTCATTTTAGTTTCTGCATGTGTAGAAGGAAATAAAGCTTTTTCACAAAACACAACCTTCAAAAAAGTGTGATAAATTTGCTAGGTTTTGGTCACTTGTTTACATTTGTGCTGCCTTTGGTGGGTTATATACTTAGAAAACACATTGTGTCTAACCCGGGTCAGCTCAAATCACATTTCTGATGTCGGGTAAACAAACAATGTTAACTCGGTTGCATCATAATGACTGAACTACAAGTCGCACGGCCCCATATCAAACACGGCGTGATGCGACGACCGTGGTGTTTAATTACCGACTCACTGCGAAATATCTTAACTATACGGCGTGTATTGTCACCATGTGGACACTATAGCGCAATCACATTCTGAAAAATAATTACACATATTATTTTTATTTAAACCACGTAAAGTGAATATATCAGTTAAACAGGAAGTGGTCATTTTGAACCTTTTCTGGGGGTCTAGGCATTCCGATTTGTTATAGTAACATTATTGATATATGGGCTGCATATTTCACGAATATGTTAGCAGTCGCTTAACGTTTTCCGCAATGTTTTTTTTTTACCGAAGAACTGCAAAAAATATATTATACTTCAAAACCACTGAACACATTGATTTGACCTTTGTTTTTTAGCATGGAAGTTATATAGTCATTAAAGTTTGCAAAACTCTTTGTGATTGGTCGTTGATTGCTTCTAAACAAGGAGTATTTTTTACAGATCTAACTTTTATCTGATTACAGTTTTTATTTTGAAATTTGCCATGTTGCATCTTTATACCAAACTCCTTCACAGAGCCACTGTGACAGAGCAAACAACTTATTCGAACCAGTCGCGTGATTTTGCCGCCATCTTTGATTTTCGACAAAAATATTGAGGTGTTTCTCAGGAGTGTTTTGACCGATCAACTGGATAATTGGCATGTAGCATGTAGTTAAAGTTTATTACCAGTTACATTGTTTTATTTTCCCACATAATAACATTATGCTCCAAAATGGCGGTCATATTGTGAAAGACTGGATAGAACTTTGAACTTAATAGAAATGTACATACAAAAGTGTAAAATACTGCATCCCAATAATTGATGGCGTTCTTTTTATGTAAAGTTTAGAATTAGAATGCGAAAGGTCATTGTAGTGTTAACGTTAACAGATAAATCTCACGGGCACGATCGGTGTCGTCCATCCGTCGTTCCGTTTCTTTGACTCTGTATCGTTTCCTGTCGTATTTCATGGTTTGATTCATTTAATTTATATAAGAAGAGATTTCTGAAGTATGTTGTATGCGTCACTTGAGCTTGATTGGCGCATCCGACAGAAGGACAGAAGGCCGTCGTGGGCTTTCGCTGAATGATTTTTGCACATTCATAAAAAAAAAGCGGTTCACGACGGAAACATGCCTGGATATAGTACCACATTAGTTGCGTTCGCACACAGCTACTTAGCACGAGCTAGGAGGCCAAACACATGTCAGGTTAAACAATATGCCTATCAATAGTAGTGTTCACGTACATCTCCTTGGCATTGACCATGGATGTACTAAGAATCCATGCATGGACTAAGAGATCAATTACCTTACCCCGTGCATATAAAACGTGCACGAATGCTTAGCACGGGCTAAAATGCTTAGTACGGGTTAAATCTGATCCGTTTTTAAGAACCGGTCCAGATCCTGAGCACGGGCTAACGAAGTGTGCGCGAACGCTTAGCGCCCAAAACGCTGGTTGATTTACTATTATATTCATAACTACTACCGGGTAGTATTCATTTCGGCATATCATTCCCGACATGACAATCAACACGAGTACATCTAGGAACATTGTCCCGGAGAAAAATGAGCTGACGACGAGACTGTACTACTTCCTGTTATTCTGCAATCTGCGCTTTCTGAATTTGTTTTTGTAATGTTTTATAATCGTGGAACAAAAATGTATACCGTCCTGGTTACTGTACCTAGTAACATGGAACTACAAACCACAGTCCCTCTATCAGAGGGACTGTGTACAAACCATGCTAGTAATCATAGCTAACCACTGTTTCCCCCGTTTGTCAACGCAATTTACAGCCATAAATATCACAGTACTGATCGTATGCCAAAAGTATAACGATTACTTATTCATTGGTCACGATTTCATTTAAAACCTAGTTGGATTCGAAGGTTGAAAAGAAAATAACTTTATTAACACTTACACGATCCCCGGAGGGGTTGGCAATGGTTACAAATGTTTAAGAAGGAATAAAAGGTTACAAAAAAGTAAATAGATAAAATAAAACAAACTACAGAGAATAAAATTATAAAAAAAGTATAAAATTATAATACTACGATAGATCATGGATAGATAGAAAACAAAATGCAAAACGTAAATTGTGTAAGAAGGTTGTCACTGGGGTTGCTGTCTTATTTAAAAACACTTCTTTAGGTATATTGCTACGGAGAGTGTTTTTAAAGTTTTGGATTTTGGTTTTTGCCATTTCGAATAGAACATTTTTTTCGGGGGTCACATATCTTTTACATGACATGAAAAGTAGAAGCCCCGTGTGAATAAACTCTTGTCAATCACTGTTACGTAATATTAATGGTAAATAAACTACCTCTGTTATCTGTTTATAAACAGACTTTGCTGTTATATGTAATTTGCATAATATATATATACGTAGTGACGTACTAGTAATCAAATAATCTCTACGTGTGACAGAAAGACGCGTTTTTAGATACCAGCGAACATCGATAATTTCTTGGAACAGGTGCGCATGTAGCAATTACGTCAAGATTCGTTTGTCACTTGGGAATAACCCCGTCTGCTTGGGAGGGAATCAATATTTTCCCAGTATCGCATTCCCGGGAAATCGTGCCGACGTTGTGAAATGTGATGAGTTTGGTGTATGTTGTTGCTGGGCGACCTGCGACCTTTGCCGGGTCGAATCCTTGTCAAGTCGACGATGATGATGTTGATGACGTCGGCTTGTGCCGTCGTTTGGTGATACAGGCGTAGTAGATGTGTAACCCGCTAAAATTAATATTAAACTTTTGAAATATATATTACCGTCGAAAATAAAAAAAATGATACACGAGCATTATTTTTGATATAAACACACTCATTGCTAAGACAAAATAGTTTAAATGTATTGCCATATATGTTAATGGTTTGTGATTACTTCGGTTTTGGGATGCGGGTGCGGTATTTCGTATTGGGGTTCAAATGCAACGCCGTGTTATCACGCCGCCTGTTAACCATTAACAATTGACAACGCCCTGACCAATCATATCTCTTGCAAACACAACTTCCATTCAAAACAAGATAATATACTACCTCGGTAACTGGATATCACCATATGCCAGGCTGTTGACGTATATCGTCGGAACTCACGGCGTGTTTCTCTCTAAAGTTACTGGATTTCTTGGCACAGATTGCGGTCTGAGTGTTATTTGCATTATCCCACTTTTCATTGTGCTTACAATGAGGTAAAGTGTATCATAAAAAGTGAATCTATCGTGAAACACACAATGGATTTGAAATGCGGGTACCTGTTCTATCGGAATCCATCCAAAGAGACATGGTACACTGTAAGGGTAAGTTTATTTATTCTGTGGTTTATGAGTTTGGTTCGAACAATGCTAGACAATATCGCATTGGGGTTTACTTAGTTGCTCGTTTCACGCGCACGCCTATGGTAGCCTCGTCGTGACTATTCTGTGCCTGGTACTCGTAGTACCGACTGGGTAAATTAGCTGTTTGCGCGTTGGCCATTAATATGAGTACGATGCGTGTGGTATAACATGGTATAACATGGTATAACATAGAAGAAACAGAACAAATTGTATTCATAGCATGATCCTGTGATGAAAATGGTTTACCTGTGTCCTAATAGTCGCATGATTTGTTTATCTGATGTTTACTAGTTCCGCCATGGTCACATGTACACTTTATATCGATGCCGCGTTGTCCCGTTAGGCTGTCCCAGATTGTGGTTACCATAGGTTTTATTTTCAAATTTATGATTGCTCAATATCATTTCATTTTCTTTTCAGCCTTGGGCGCGTAAATGGGTAGAAATACGTGAAAATCGGACTTCAGAAGGACGTTCAGTTTTATTAGAAGCCTACGAGGACCAGAACGAGTTTGATAAACCTGTGCTGTGCGTGTTACTAAAGAACGTCACATTAATTCGACGCACGCTGGAAAGAAAACAGAGATACGGCCTAGAGATATACTCCGGTGACAAACCACTTCTTTATCTCGCCGGTGATAACGAGGGTGTTATCCACGAGTGGATCGGTGTGCTTAAACGGGCACTGCTGCCCAAAATAAACACTGTCAGAAAATTACCCGATGTTGGATCAGGTAAGAAGTAAAGTAATTTATGTTGCATATAATAATTTAAATTGATAATATGTAAAAGAAGACAAAATATGATCTACACATGCTGGAACTACTTGTGTCCCAATATAGTCACCCACTGAGTCTGTCTGAAAATATACGCATGATTATCCTGCACTTGTCTCACGACCTGGTGAAATTGATTCGACACGAGTAACCATCTAACGGTCGGCACTACATAGGATAAAAAACGCGACGAAATCTTAGCTCTGTCTTCAGTGTTTATTTTAAAAACACTGGGTTTTATGGGTTCTATCCTATACGCCTTGTAATCATACTGTCTACGGTGCATCATATGGTACAATTCTGCGAATACACTGGCAATGCAAGTTGTTTAGTCTTCATTTGAAATTCCACACGCTAATAAGTCTAGAGTGTGGGTAGGGGTGGTGGCGTTGGGCTAATAACGGGTGTTACTGGGACTCGAAACAATATTCATCAAAATAGTCAGAATTTATCTCATGTGTCGTGCTTTCGTCAAATGGGTGTGGTCGCATACACTGTAAACTAAAGTTTGAATTTGACTTTATGCATGAATTACAGCCGGCGCCCAAATAAATTGATCATGAAAACCGCTATCTCCCTGTCAATTTTACTTAGAAGATTTTAAGCGGTGTCTGATATGAATTTGCCATTCAACCGTTGGAAACTTACATATCGAAAATCAGACTATATTTCATGGGGTGCTCGAATTTGAAGTTAATTGTGCACTTGTGATTAGATATAATTAATTGTGTTCAAGTGTAGAACGCTCTTATCATGCACATATTTTTAGGCATTTTTTTCGAAATCAGGTTGAAAAAATATTACACAGGGAAACATTGCCCACAAAATCTCCCGTTAACGGTCACCACCTGCAGCGTGTTTCTGAATACGTCAGCAGTTGTAATTTGAATTTGGACGACAACATCGAATGATATTCAGCCATATTTACAACCATAATTTGAATTTTCATCCTCAATATAACACGTGAGTTTCAGAGCTAGAAACGAATAATTGAAAAAAAACAAAACTAACTGAGTGTATTCTGTATATGATTCTTACCACCTAGCACCCCTAGTGACAATGGTTGTGTCCAGGGAAGTCGCCTTTTAGGATTGAAGTGCCAATGTCAAAACAAACACCGCTAAGAATTGCTACGTTCACACGACAGCATTATATCGGAGCCCTATGTTCCAGGGTATAATATTGGAATACTGTTAGGGAGATAGCGGTTTTTATAATTCCATAGTTTCTTTTGATGCCCGCTGAAACAGAATCTTAATTTAGCTAAAGTGCCAACAATAGTGAGAATATACTTTCTGTTAAATCATGGAGCTCCATGGTTAAATTATCTACATCTTGAATTAGCGAAATTACAGCTAAATTAGCTAAAATAACATGCTTTAAAAAGACGTGTTTTACCGTATATGCTTACGTGTGACATCTGAATATTTCCTTGATAAGATTCTTTAGCTTGGCATTACGTGTTCATAGCGGGGTATTATTGCCTGCAGTTTATGATAACCGGGTCCAATCACAGACAGTCCCTCCACGAAGAGGCAGTTGACTGCACTTGGCCCATTTCAGCAGGGGTGCATTGGCCTCAGAAAAAGTGACAAAAAACATTCCGCTCCGATACGTCAGTGTTTACGTCACAGTCACAGTGAGACGCTTGACGTCGAGTGACGAAGTATGACAATGATGTGACATAATACGAATTGACATCGATGTGACGTGAGTACATCGTCACTAGAGAGCCCCACGACTATATATTACTGTTCATGATGAAAACACGTATACCACGGTTTTACTCGACTCTAATGGTACTCTCTCTCAACAACTCTGATTACCATGTCTTATCCGTGTCTTTTTCCTTCCGTTTCAAAAGAATTCTACAGAGTGTGGGCGCTACCGATGGCAACTGCAAACAGGCTACGACTAAATGGCGAATTCCTGCTAGCTGTCACTCAACAGAACTTCGAACTCTATAACGAAAACGGTACACTGTGCTTAAAATGGCATATGAAGACATTGAAGAGATTTGTGATCCTAAATGACAGCAAATCAGTGGCACCGGCAGACTGTGGCAAAATACTCTATGTAGAGACTGGACGGTGAGTGCGCTGTTTAAATCAAGTCAAGTTTTAATTGATTGATACGGAATTACTTATACAAGTAATTTTAATAGAATACATACACTAATATAATATCAATGATAATTTAATAGTCTTTGCAACGGATACGGCGATGCCGTGGTAATTGTCGCTTTTTTTGTTTAGTTGAATCGCAGTCCCTCTACACCGTGTGTGGTGGGACTGTGGTTGAATGCTACCAGTTTCGCCAAAGTCCCTCACCTCGTCCCTCTACACCGTGTGTGGAGGGACTGTGGTTGAATGCTACCAGTTTCGCCAAAGTCCCTCATCTCATTATGATTCAATTTTCTTCACATATTGTGTAACTTCTTTTAAACCATCTAGTCTTTCTTGATGTGTCTATCCCATAAATATGGCATCACTGCAATTAAAAGAAGATTCATGTTTGGGCTTTTTATTTGATTTTTTAAATATGTTTTTAACGGTTCCACTAATTATTATTTATTCAAATATTTTATTTACATATTTATTTGTTGGATTTTTGACTCCCATGTGCGAAGCACAAAATGGGAGTCTTTGTAGTTAGTTTGTGTGTGTGTGGGGTGGGGGGGGGGGTGGGGGGTGGGTGCGTGTGTGTGTGTGTGTGTGTGTGTGTCCGTCTGTTCCACTGATATCTCAAGAACCATACATCAGTTTTTGATGAAACTTGGTGCATAGATGCTCTGAGCCAATGCGCAGATTTGATTAGGTTTTGGTGAAATTCCATGCATATTATTTACCTAATTTGCATGATAATAAGCTAATTTTTAGCTGTTCCATTACTGTTCCATTGATATCTGAAGAAC